CGTGATCGGATGACAAACACTTCCCTAAAAGTGCAGATTTTAATTATGGATACTGGCAGAAGTGTTAGGAAACAATTATTGGTAAATAAAATTAATGCAATACTAACACTCCTGCCTACTTAATGTTCGCAAGCAATTCTTCGCACATTTAACATTGGGTTGGCACTAATACCATTAAAACAGTTTAATTATTTGATGCCAAGTTCTGCTCGTGTGTTTCTGAGTTTGTTTTACTAGTTCAGTGTAGGAGTAGTTTAGTGAAGGAATAGGTTAGAAGGAAAGAGATGAAAGGAGACCAGTTAGGGATAGGAGGTTGGTGGTAGAAAATGTTAAAGAAGGAAGAATGTTTAGAAAGTTATGAACATTCCAAGTTAAAGTATTTATGTGAAATGAGTATTGTTTGTTCCCCTTATTCCTGAATGCTTGTAGCACCAACATTATAAAACAATAAAAACAATAGTTCTGTTCCTTAATCAATCAGTTAATAGATTATCATGTGAGAGGATTTTGGGAGGAGAACCATCACCAATCCAGCACATTAGCTAGTATATTCTCATGTGAGAGGATTGTGGGAGGAGAACCATCATTAATCCAGCACATTAGCTAGTATATTCTCATGTGAGAGGATTGTGGGAGTGAGCCATCACTAATCAAGCACATCAGTTAGTAGATTCTCATGTGAGAGGATTGTGGGAGGAGAACCATCACTAATCCAGCACATTAGCTAGTATATTCTCATGTGAGAGGATTGTGGGAAGAGAACCATCAAAAATACAGCACATTAGCTAGGATATTCTCATGTGAGAGGATTGTGAGAGGAGAACCATAACTAATCCAGCACATCAGCTAGTAGATTCTCATGTGAGACGATTGTGGTAGGGAACCATCATTAATCCAGCACATCAGTTAGTAGATTATCATGTGAGAGGATTGTGGGAGGAGAACCATCACTAATCCAGCACATCAGCTAGTAGATTCTCATGTGAGAGGATTGTGGTAGGGAACCATCATTAATCCAGCACATCAGTTAGTAGATTCTCTTGTGAGAGGATTGTGGGAGGAGAATCATCATTAATCCAGCACATCAGTTAGTAGATTATCATGTGAGAGGATTGTGGGAGGAGAACCATCATTAATCCAGCACATCAGTTAGTAGATTATCATGTGAGAGGTTTGTGGGAGGAGAACCATCACTAATTCAGCACATCAGCTAGTAGATTATCATGTGAGAGGATTGTGGTAGAAGAACCATCATATTCACAATATGCTTTATGTTATGGGGCGTGTGTTTAGTAAACACTACACATACACAGTATACCGCTTGCTCTAGCTTGTGTGTTTTATAACCATTATATATATAGCAGGTACTGTATGTTACTACTTGCGTGTTTTATAACCATTGTATATATAGCAGGTACTGTATGCTACTACTTGCGTGTTTTATAACTATTATATATATAGCTGGTACTGTATGCTACTACTTGCGTGTTTTATAACCATTATATATATAACAGGTAGTGTATGTTACTACTTGTGTTAATAGGGTGGTCAACGGTTAACTAGTTAACTGATTACTAGTACGAAAGACCCCGAACCGGTTACCAAAATCAATAACCGAAAAGTCGAACATTTATTTACCCCCTGTGGAGATCCATGGTTTTATGTATCTGGCTTAGACCTACAAATTATCTATACCTGATACCAACATTGGATATTTTAGTAATGTTTAGCCAGACCGTTTAGTCTTATCGTTTACAAATTTCCATACGACATAAATGAATCGATAAAAAGAGAATAAACAAAAACATAAGCAAAATCACCGACAAGGACAACAATTATGCGTTTAATCAAATTGTTTTACATAAAATATTGATCTGTCTTTATACTGGTTCATTGGAAGCCTTATATAATGAAGAGCTGAGGTTTGGATACATGCACTGCCGACAGAATGTCTTCCATATTGTATACTGTGGCGAATTCTTCAGTCCGGTCGTGTTATTTAGACATGAAGTTAGGTATTTGTTATTCATGAGTAGGTGCGTTACTTGTACGGTATTCGGCAGGCCTGTACCAACATCACCATCTGTCAATCAACTGTGGCAGAACTTACAATGGAATCCAAATCTCGGTGATTTTGTTTTGTTCTTGAAATCGACATCTTGTTCACAAATAACTTTACAGAATGCCTAACATTAATAGATACATGTAACATTAATTTTGAATAACATAGGTTTCGGAACAGAGAAATTACTACAATTACATATCTACACAGGTTTTTGGAATAGATAAGGTTACTAAATATATAGGTGAGGGGCTATACAGGTTTAACAACTTCACAAGTTACGGAATTGACAGGTAAGATATAATTATATTCACGAGTTAAAATATATCTGCATCGTAGCTTATTTGGATAATAATAATAAACCAATGGAAAATCTACGGTAGTTGATCACTTAGTTTGGTTGCCTGCTCTCTTGAACAAAGAAATAGGCGCTTTAATACAAACACCCATCAGATATCTCACACATGAGGGATTGTTGTTTGTGGTTCGGCTTCTAGATGCACAGGCTGTTTACAGAGATGAATTCTAGGCAAATCGATGTTGCTAACTTTGACACAAAAGTCACCACGTGGATTTACCGGATAGCAAACCAATTCAGGAAATCGTATATTCTATTCCCACCAGCTTTCCACCAGATTTCAGAATGAATTCATGGATAGTACAGTGGATACCGGGGATTGTCAGCGTCCAAACATCCTCCTCGGAGCGATATGTTTAGCGTTGTACATGTTACATTATTGTCTGATATTGAAATATTAAGTTTATCAGTCATGGAGACAATCACAGTGTAAAATTTGCCGTTTTCATGCACATCATCCAGACAAGTAATCAAGTCATACATTTACCTAGCCAGAAAATAGATGGATCAAAATCCCGAATCTACCTTATTAATTATTCATGCAATTTACATATTGCTACGGAAGACGTGCGCGTTCGACTGACTCACTTTTACGTTTTCGTTGCCAGTGGTATTCGATCTCTTCGGTCAGTCAGATTCCTATGGTATACTTGCTTTAATAGTCTATTTCAATTCCAAGTTTCTACCTAGAATATGCTTGAACATCTCAGACTTTGACAGCAGCACAATAATCGTTTGCATCAGTTAGTCTAATGATATAATTATGAAGCTAAACATGGCATTTGATAAAATTGATGAAAGAAGATGGCCTCCAAACGCCCGTTAACCCATCAGTTATTTCGGGAAGTAAAATCTTCCAAATTTACGAGAGGTTACTGAATGCGACACATATCTAATATTCTAATATAGCGCACACGTACGTTAGCTAAACCCTAAACCTAACCCTAATATGGCGCGCACGTACGTTAACTTTATGAATCCAAAGTTAAGCCTTTCTTTAAAGCAGATTGTGTGGTTCAATTGTTCAAAGAATAGACATATTCAAATGAAGTGTATCTGTGAGTGAATATTTATCCAGTAAGCTTATTTATGAAGCATTTGGAATTTTTTAGAAATAGAATGTACATGCACACGGTCGATTACAAATATATGTGCCACTTTAAATTTCCTGTTAAAGTAAGATCAAATAATTTGAAAAAAACACCGAAATGTGACAAAACCGTTTTTCGAGCTGAGAGTTAATGGAACTAGGACAGATTAGCAACAGAGGAACATTTACATGGAGACCCATGGAAAAGTACAAGAAAAATATAGCCAGGTGGTCTGGAAGGATGAGCGTAATAAATTACGCTTACCCTGTCGAAAAATCCAAGGGTATCAATGTAAATATTTCCTTTGTTCCTATTTTACCATATTTCATCAATGTAAATATTTCCTATGTTCATATTTTACCATATCTCATCAATGATAATATTTCCTATGTTCCTATTTTACCATATTTCATCAATGTAAATGTTTCATCGATTTTTGGTAGAGTTATGGTTTTGTTGATACTTCGGTATTCTCTAGGTGTTTTGTTAGTTATCACTTAACCAAGTTGAAATAGATTGGGTATGTTCGTCGATGAAGCACACAGTGAAACTCTAATAAATGAAACACACAAATATACAAATGTAGTAGTCCGCAAAACAGTGATAATTAATTTTTGGGGGTGATATTTTTGATGCAATGATTGAAGCCGTAAATTCATTATAGTTCGGGGGTATTCTAGAGAGCCTTTTCCCCGGAGAAACTGTAGAATGAAATATGCGAAGTTGGATAGGTGGCGGCAATTATATTTTATCTTAATGTTGAATACCCCTGAACCTCCATGGCAGTTTGCGGTTTTATGCATTTAATAAACATACACGATACATCTACTGATACGGAATTTAAATAAGCGTCTTTTAATTTAAATCTAAAATAATTCAAAAATGTAATATCATCACTGAACTTTGATGAAGGGTCAGACTTACAGTCTAAATACATTACACAGCATTGCAGGTAAACATGAGGCGCGTTAACTGCTCAATTAAATCACACGTCGGTAATATTTGTTGATCTTTTTGTTTAATTAGAGTTAGTGCGGCGTGCGCTAATCTCCAACACTTGACGTAACATCCGGTAGCTATGCCATTCTTTATCAATCAGAAAGTAGTCAACGCAGCGCGTTTTTGTTATACGATATTTTCATGTTTCGGCCATCCGGTGCATTCACTTTTCTGCCCGTCCTTTTCTTGCTCTTTATCAATACTTACAAAATACCGCAATGTCTTCTCTGATAGCATCTGACGAAAACCAAACTTTTCTATATGAAGTTTAAAAAGCTGACAGAATGGTCTTAATAACGTATGAACGTTGTTTTGACATTTGAGAGATCCCATTTTTTTTTTTAAATTTTATGAAAGCTTGTTATATACTATGACTTATTGTTATATCTGACTAGACACCTCAATGTTCTATATAGCATCTTATGGGTTACAAATATACTAACGATACTCCTCATGTGATAATACTTCTTCAGTGTTATTTGTGTTGCAGGAATGGACAGATGAGCGCCTCAAGTGGGACCCCCGAGATTACAATGGATTGGTAGTGTTACGTATTCCATGTGAAAAAATATGGCTCCCTGATATCGTCCTTTATAACAGGTATGCAATCCTATTGCTACGAAACAGATCGGTACATAATGTAGTGTTATCATATACATCTGAACACGGGGCTATCATAACAAAACAAGGTTCCATGCATGACCAGTTATGGCATGGTCCATATACATCGCATCTAAAAGTAATGTTATGGAATTTTAACAGTGTTTTATATTTCTAAGTTTCCAAATTCTAGGGAATGTTATTTATGTATTATTCTGCAAAGTCGGTGATGCCCCTATGTCAACACGAGTCCCGTTTGTTAAGGGCAAGTAAATTAACGTTATAGTCGGCCATGCATTCCCTTTTTACTGCTATCATAATATACAATGATATTCCAAGTTTCCAAGTAATAGGAAAACATGTCATACAGTTTTGATATAGATAGCGAGTTAGGGTTAGTGTTAGTGTTAGGGTTAGGGTTAGGGTTAGGTTTTTGTATATTTTAAGGGGGTAACACTATACAATTGATGTCAAACTTCTGGGAAATTCTCCAAGGGGGATCAGCAAAAGAGCTACATATTGGGCAGAAGTCATGTAGGATATTAATGCCAGTTATATAAATATAGTCTGTGTATCATATGTATTCCATATTTCAGTGCGGACGACTTCACATCCGGGTACATGCAGAGTAAAGCCATGGTCAACTGCAATGGAACGGTGTTCTGGCCGCCTCCTGCAAAATTCAGGAGCTCGTGCAAAATAGACATTACTTATTTTCCATTTGATGATCAAACTTGTAAAATGAAGTTTGGTTCGTGGACGTATGATGGTTTTCAAGTCGACCTCACAAACAGGTCAGCGGCGGTCGATCTTTCAAACTACGTGTATAGTGGTGAATGGGAACTCTTGGATATACGGGTAGTTCGAAACGAAGTTTTTTACCCATGTTGCATAGAACCTTTCCCGGATGTGACGTTTACTGTGATTATGCGCAGAAGAACTCTGTATTATTTGTTCAATATTATATTCCCGTGTTTGTGGTTGACCATCCTGAGTTTATTGGGATTCTGGCTTCCTCCTGATTCTGGAGAAAAGATTACACTCGGAATTACTGTTTTACTGGCTTTCTCTGTATTCATGCTTCTGATAGCAGAAAATATGCCAGCTACATCGGAATTCGTACCGCTTATAGGTGAGTGGACATCTTTTATTTTTATCTTGATATTTTATAATTTCTTTTGATATACATGTATTAATTTCTGTAAATCTGAGAATTTAACAGACAGGTAATAATGGTGTTTCATTAAAATGCCAGATAGTTGTATTTTAACACGATATGTTTATGTTCATTATTTAATTTGAACAACATGTAGATATGCCACCTTCACTCCTGTATACCATACATTTAAGTGTGTCCGAGTCGGTGCAGGCATCAGGGAAGGTAGTGTACGTCTAAACAAATGGACTTGAAACAAAATATGGTGGAGAGTCACGGTAGTCGTTTCATGGCAAACGACAACGTGGTTTTCGAGTGAGTCATCACACATAGATTAAAACGTGGTTTTCGAGTGAGTCGTCACACATAGATTAAAAAGTCGTTTTCGAGTGAGTCGTCACACATAGATTTAAACATGGTTTTCGAGTGAGTCATCACACATAGATTAAAACGTGGTTTTCGAGTGAGTCGTCACACATAGATTAAAACGTGGTTTTCGAGTGAGTCATCACACATAGATTAAAACGTGGTTTTCGAGTGAGTCATCACACATAGATTAAAACGTGGTTTTCGAGTGAGTCATCACACATAGATTAAAACGTGGTTTTCGAGTGAGTCATCACACATAGATTAAAACGTGGTTTTCGAGTGAGTCATCACACATAGATTAAAACGTGGTTTTCGAGTGAGTCATCACACATAGATTAAAACGTGGTTTTCGAGTGAGTCATCACACATAGATTAAAACGTGGTTTTCGAGTGAGTCATCACACATAGATTAAAACGTGGTTTTCGAGTGAGTCATCACACATAGATTAAAACGTGGTTTTCGAGTGAGTCATCACACATAGATTAAAACGTGGTTTTCGAGTGAGTCATCACACATAGATTAAAACGTGGTTTTCGAGTGAGTCATCACACATAGATTAAAACGTGGTGTTCGAGTGAGTCATCACACATAGATTAAAACGTGGTTTTCGAGTGAGTCATCACACATAGATTAAAACGTGGTTTTCGAGTGAGTCATCACACATAGATTAAAACGTGGTTTTCGAGTGAGTCATCACACATAGATTAAAACGTGGTTTTCGAGTGAGTCATCACACATAGATTAAAACGTGGTTTTCGAGTGAGTCATCACACATAGATTAAAACGTGGTTTTCGAGTGAGTCATCACACATAGATTAAAACGTGGTTTTCGAGTGAGTCATCACACATAGATTAAAACGTGGTTTTCGAGTGAGTCATCACACATAGATTAAAACGTGGTTTTCGAGTGAGTCATCACACATAGATTAAAACGTGGTTTTCGAGTGAGTCATCACACATAGATTAAAACGTGGTTTTCGAGTGAGTCATCACACATAGATTAAAACGTGGTTTTCGAGTGAGTCGTCACACATAGATTAAAACGTGGTTTTCGAGTGAGTCATCACACATAGATTAAAACGTGGTTTTCGAGTGAGTCATCACACATAGATTAAAACGTGGTTTTCGAGTGAGTCATCACACATAGATTAAAACGTGGTTTTCGAGTGAGTCATCACACATAGATTAAAACGTGGTTTTCGAGTGAGTCATCACACATAGATTAAAACGTGGTTTTCGAGTGAGTCATCACACATAGATTAAAACGTGGTTTTCGAGTGAGTCATCACACATAGATTAAAACGTGGTTTTCGAGTGAGTCATCACACATAGATTAAAACGTGGTTTTCGAGTGAGTCATCACACATAGATTAAAACGTGGTTTTCGAGTGAGTCATCACACATAGATTAAAACGTGGTTTTCGAGTGAGTCGTCACACATAGATTAAAACGTGGTTTTCGAGTGAGTCATCACACATAGATTAAAACGTGGTTTTCGAGTGAGTCGTCACACATAGATTAAAACGTGGTTTTCGAGTGAGTCGTCACACATAGATTAAAACGTGGTTTTCGAGTGAGTCGTCACACATAGATTAAAACGTGGTTTTCGAGTGAGTCGTCACACATAGATTAAAACGTGGTTTTCGAGTGAGTCGTCACACATAGATTAAAACGTGGTTTTCGAGTGAGTCGTCACACATAGATTAAAACGTGGTTTTCGAGTGAGTCGTCACACATAGATTAAAACGTGGTTTTCGAGTGAGTCGTCACACATAGATTAAAACGTGGTTTTCGAGTGAGTCGTCACACATAGATTAAAACGTGGTATTCGAGTGAGTCGTCACACATAGATTAAAACGTCGTGTTCGAGTGAGTCGTCACACATAGATTAACACGTCGTGTTCGAGTGAGTCGTCACACAGAGATTAAAACGTGGTTTTCGAGTGAGTCGTCACACATAGATTAAAACGTGGTTTTCGAGTGAGTCGTCACACATAGATTAAAACGTGGTTTTCGAGTGAGTCGTCACACAGAGATTAACACGTCGTGTTCGAGTGAGTCGTCACACATAGATTACAACTCTACGCACGTCTTATGATGGTGTTTTTAAATGAGTGCTGCAGAAGACGACTAAATAAGCAAACCAAGTTTCAGGTGACAGCAGAGCACTATGCATGCATTAGATTCCATGCGATATGATAAAGACACCTCGTTTGTCAGCGTTCGCTTGGTAGACCGCTTCATATAATGAAAGCATTGAATCAATCACTGAAGTGACTAGAAGTGGTAAAGTGGTGTTACGTTATAACGGTTCATTGACAACATACATTAAAAGGGCAACGACCGACAGCTAGATCTGCGGAATGTATCGGCATTGCACGATATGATTAGAATGTTATATGGTATGTGCGCAAAGATATGCATTTATATTTCGTCATCATTCCGGTTCCATGTTAATATTATCTTATACCAATAACTGCCTTCGCCTGATCTATATTTTGAAAATAGCAGATTTTATTCGTTAGGGGTAGGGGTTGTAAAATACACTTGGTTTATAAAATGTCGAGCATTGCTCAGAAAGATCGCTAACCGGTCCCACTGCCCAACAACTATAGGAACATGTACATTCTTACTTTTTATTTTAGAACAGATATCAAATGTGTTTTGTAAAAAGGTAAACATGTTTCAAACATACCGCAGCAAAGTCCAAATCACTTTTCACCAGAGAGATACATTTTTTTGATGTCCAGTCAGGATGATTTAGCAGAATATTCGAAATTTTATTTGTCAATGTCAGTTTCATGAATTTAATTTTAATGTTCAGTCTAGAATATTTTCGGTCTTCTTCGAGACGTAGAAATTTATTTTGAGAAGCAATCATTTTTTCGGTAAAAACCCCCCAACATGTCCTTAATCTATTGAAATGAAATTACGCCAAATCTTTATGTGAGGTCTTGGCCAAACTATATTCTTATCGAGCGATTGACGCTAGTTGAATGGACTCGATCATATAGCGATAAATTAGCTTACAAACTGTCAGAAATGGATCTCACTGCTTTAATGATAACGCGTCGCCAAAGACTTGACGCGAAAAATATATCTCTCTACGTTCTCTCCAATGGAGCCAAATTAGTTTAGATTACAAAAGTCATTACCAAAATCCAAACAAATTGGTCTAATATCTACGATTTGTACAACCAAACCTAAATGACGCCAAACGTCATAATGAGTTGCATTTCCGTAAAAGATATTTTATTGGATCCTACTTCGTTAAAATGGGTTTTTACTGATTAACACTATAGAACGCCATTCGGCAGTAACGTATGGAATGCCTTCTAACTGACACTATCAATAATTGACAGTAAGTAACGGAACCCCTCGATATCAACATTGTTTACAGCCTAATGACTCAAACCCTAACAACAAAGCAACTCCACTCATCAAAACATTTGGCAGACAATATGTTCGATAACCTATTACCGTTTGGTTGTCATCCACTGTGAAGGAAAAGCGAAGCTTCAGTGTATTTAAATTTGAACAGAATGAAGAATGACGGCTGGGAGTGTATATGTGTAGAGGATATTCAAGATTAATTAAATAACGTACTTTTATCCTAATTCCATTAACTCAGCACCATTACGAGAGAGAAATAAATAAGAACATTTCACTATTAATGATGCGTCATGTACGGTATTTGATTTCTGGCAACTTGATTTTGCATATCGACATAGTATGTTATATTGCGATAATCGCCAGAAACTTGTAGTAGTGAGACACTGGTGGAAAAGGGGACGGCAACAGCATAGAAAGGAGACACGTTTCGTGTACAATTCAAACCCATTTAGCATATATTTGTGTGAAATTTGATAATCTTGATAAGCAAGAAAACGATATGATAACGCTAATCATTCGAACGTAGTTCCTCATAGATTCCGTTTTTGCTCATTCGTGAATTCATGTCAAGAATATTTGAGATAAAAATAAAAAATAAAATGAAATGCTGTGATCCCCTGAACGTTTGTGCAGAAGCCGGTTCAATATATAGCGAAGGAGTGATGACGCCGTTAAACTGAGAATAATGCACAATGTCGTCACATTTACAAAGGTCAGCAAGCGGCTTGAAATGAACATTTTTTTCAAAAACATAACGGCCCTCATTTGAGTACTTATATTTAAGCAATCACGCAGTTTACGAAGGATGACCATACAATTAGTAGAATCATGTTATTTTGCAGTCGCATTGCTTTTTTTTCAAACACACGATTAATGTCGAATTGTCATTTCTAAATACTGTAATATCGGAATGGCGCATCGATTTACAGACCAGATAACGATAAGTAGATTTTTATTAGGAAGAAGACGTGAGACGGCGTATGCAGATACAAAATTGTAATCTTGTCAACGCTCCTGGTGGGAGTCTTACGGAACTCTGTCAGGAAGTTGAAAGAGTTTCTCACCACCTGTCAGATACACGTAGTCTACAGGTCCTGCACGCGCATAATGACGCATGTAATCACTTCCGCCGATATCAGAGACCTCCCTTTGACTTGCAAAGTGACACATGTAAAACTATATTTCTTTTTGTGTTGTAACAAGCCATCCTGTTGCAA